GTTGGATTTAGATGAATGCATGACAGAAATCGGGAACAACTCTACTACCTCCCTTTAACAAGCCAAACAAGTTTTCTAGAAATTGAAGACCAAAAGGTATGTATTCCAGCTTACTCTGAAGTGCGTGGTCCTTGGATAACAAACCATCCTCAAAGGGAACAGGTTGCCTCTGAGACGGATAGTTAAGGCCAATTGTGGGACCATAATTTTCAAAGTCGGAGTAAGGCTGGCCCAAATGCAATTACCTCAGAAGTTCGGTCATGAATTCACCAGCTCTGGGCAAAGCTGCATCAAACGGAGTAGCAGTGCCACCCTCACTCTACTCTAAGGCAATAGGTGGAGTCCTAGTAACTCCGCTAGATGACCATGCTTATTTTGCAAGACACGTGATTTGATCCGGATGTGGACATAATCAGATCTTATAAGTTTTAGAGTTTCTACAAGCTAGGAACTGGCGTGCGCCACAAGTAATCATAACTCCTACGAGGATGAAATATTTACTTCTAGATATCATCTAGGATTCTCTCAGCTTAGAATGAGGATTCTATCCTAAAAAGGTCTCTATCCCATGGTATAAATAAACTCATCTAGGGTTCACTTGGGGTAATACAATCTAAATACTTCAATTCTCAAGCCCGTTGCTTAAGTCTAAAATCATTCACTAGCTTGACTGTTGGAAAGCCTTTGGCCAGCACATCCCACCCCAAACCTTGGCTTGCTCACAGTTGTTTCACTGTTTTGCAGGTTGCTCGGATTTGTGCTCAGCCACCACTCACAGAGGTGCAAAAATTTGGTTCCAACAATTAGTAATATGAAAAATACACATGCAAGATCTCTTTTTATCTCAATATGAAATTCATATTATCAACACAGTTTCTAACATTTGGTTTTTAAGACTAACACATAGACAAATTTCAGATGATGTGAAGCATGTATGGCTTTTGACTTCATCATACTCGAGCCAACTTTCTTTGATACTTGAACAAAGTTGAGGGTTCACTATAAAATCAATTGACTATATGAAGAGCAGTCTAACTACTTATAAGCACATGCAATGTCTTGTTTCCCCATTATAAAATTCATACTGTCAACATCGAGGCTAAAATAAGCTAGCATACACCAATTAGTACTACGGTCTAGTGGTATTCCTTTTCAATTATAAGTGAGAGGTCTTAAGTTCGATTCTCGCCAAAGACGAATTCGAACGACATTATTACTAGCCCATTGTGAGGCTAAGCCCACTCCCTCCTTTTTAGTGTAGATAATATCGTTTGTTAAAAAAAAAAAATAAGCGAGCATAATATAATTAAAGTGCTAATGACAATTTTTTAAAACTAAATTCGAAAAGTGAACAAGTATTTGCCTGAAAATAAGTTTCAGTAATGGAGATTTAAGGTTAGTTCTATTACTATTTGTAACGCAAGTTCAACTTTTTACTAGCTAGGTTTTGAAAATGATGATTATATGTTAATGCAGTAGGGAAATGGATCATCTGAACATCAACTAGAAATTCCATTGGCAACCTGCAAGGACGAACACTATATGCTAGGGTTGAAGGACTTCCCACCTACATGGGGTTGGAGTTTTCTCTAGTTTGATCTTTCTTTCTTTCTTTTTTCAAATTTACATTACATGGAAAAGAAATTTCATTGTTATATCATATGATGTGACAAGTCATGATTAATAATTTTATATCATTAATGTGCACATTGTATACCACTTCATGTGAAACTCAAGTGTAGAACAAATCATTTACATACTCTAAACATGAATTTACAAACACAACCAGCCATATTAACTTGCAAAAAGCATTTCTTGGAAATGAAATAAATATCAAACACAAATGTTGAGCGATTGAACTTATCATTGTGATTGGCTTTACAGTCCAAGCTGTTGTCGATTCTGTCTGTGTGTATGAATCCTTATACACAGACAAGTTGATGCCCTGCAATGGGGAAAATTTGTCCTTAGCTATTGCCAATTGTATACAATCATGATTTTATCAATATGTAAGAGTTTTTATACAGAGACAAGTTGATGCCCTAAGATGGAGAAAATTTGTTGTAAATATTACCGATTGTATATAATCATACTTTCAAACGAAGAAAACATGTTGTATATAATTATGTATAGACACATTAAAACGGAGCAGTGCCTCGTGAGCAAACGCAAACCAACGTTTGATCTGACAACGTGTGAACAAGAAGCACCACATGTTGTTGGAAAGTCTAACAGTTAAACGTGCAGTATCGCAGTGGACCTCCGAGCGATTTCAGAATTCAGACCAACCTCATTTGACTTCAAAGTCGTCCTATTCAAGCCGGAAACGAAGACCTTTCTGCTAGTCACAATGGCAACCCAAGTCAATGATCTGATTAGACACAGAGAAAAGAAGAAAATATAACAAACACATGCAAGCGGCAAAGTGGTAGTTGTAAGTTGTAACCGTAATTCTCTCTTTATACGTAGGCGATGAATTGTCCTGATCGATAGGACAGCCATCTTCAACCCAAAGCCCAATTTTGCTTCGTTTTGTATGCATCGAGTTTGTCAAAAGCAAGCATATGATTGAGAAATATGTGCAACGCAGCTCCCCAAGAGGGTTGATTATAAGGTTTTAAGTATTTATATTTTGGATGTGAGAGGAGGTTACTGGATCGACAGAGAATTGATATGTTCAACCAAAAGGAATTGTCCACGTTCACATTTCTGCAATGATTATTAGCAAGGACAAAGGCAGAAAGTAGTCGCTTTGGCATAGGTTGTTGACTCAAAAACTCGACCCGTCGTCAGGGTTATCGACTTGAAATTCCGACGCGCCGTGCTTGAGTTGTAGCTCAAGTGACATTAAGGTGGACTATAGTTTAACTGAGTTTAAATCCTATTAAGCAAGGCACAACCAAATTGATTTAGAGCAGTGTATTTTCTCCCTTTCTTGAAATTTAGATAGATGTGGTGTACAATATCACCTAACAAAAGCACTTGTGGGAATTTCCAATTAAAATGGTTAAGCTACGAGCATCTCCACCGGTTGCCCAACTAGGTCGAATTTCCCTTGATCCCTAAAAAGTGGTCCACCGGTGCAACAAAATGGAGGGTGGATGCTTACCCTTCCAATTGAAGCACGGGCTTTCGCCCCTTCGATTGGTGGACATCAACGTTGACGTCATGAGACAAAGGGGCCCACCCACGGGGTACAACACACAGTCGAACAACTCTTTTTCCATGCAAGCCCATCCGTTGGATTTCCAACAGTTCGTTTGGATCATTGGATTTTCAACGGTAAGAAAAATTGCAACTTTTTTCAACTTTCACATGGCGAGATCAAGGGCATCCAACAATAATAATTTTGAAAATCAAAAGCCAAGATTACTCTAACGATAAAAATAAAAATAATAACTAAAAAAATGCCAAAAAATTATGATAAAATACGTTTTTTTTTTTTTTTTAATAAATACCCAACTATACTCTTCATTCTCCACACAACTCATTATTTATTCTTCATTCTCCACACAACTCAACATTGACATATGGAGGATAAAGGCCAAGAAAAAAATAGAGTAAAAAAGGAAAAAAAGTATATGTGAATAGTAATCGCCTTTGCCCGCCCTCCTTCCCAAACGAGTGCACTTGCACAAATGCAATAACTATTTAGAGTGAATAGTAAGGCCAATTTCATTGCTCTTGCCCTCGCGCTCCTAAAATGGGTAGAGTTGCTCCAAATAATGCTAAGACATCTTGTTATTTAAATCCCAAATATTTGAATGTTGTTTAAGAACTCGTAAAAGACAAACAGCATCCATTTGTCATGCTTGAAGTTACAAATTTATTTCCAGACTCTCAACAAATGTTCCTAAATCCAAAAATGTATACAAGCGCTTAACGAAAACTAACATTTTAGCTACAACACACACCTGCAAGCCGATGTCACCTCACCAATTCTTCGGTCTTGTAACATCTGGTAACGTTGAACACGACAATGTTCCCCATTGAAAAATGTTACTAGAATTTTATCTGTCATAAGTTTTGGGGAAAGAGGGGGTTGGAAGTGAAATAAAATGTAAAGCACTAGTGATATGAGATTACTTTCACCCTAATTGTCCAGCAGTTGCATATCCATCATTTTGAAGAACCTAATAATTCACATCTTTCGTGACAAAACCCATCGATCAATAAGGTCACAACAGATTGTACAACTTAAAATATCAGGTACGGCTACTTACCCAATTGGCAATGCCACCAAGAATCTCTTATCAATTGAAATTTAATGCGGAACGTCATATTAGCAGCCATTGCTAAAATGCAAAGTTGCGTTAATATATTCTTCGTGAATTCTGCAAAATAATTCCAGTAACATGCATCAGCATAACAAGATATATTAAATGAAATCCATCAACTAGTTTGCTTTCTTAAAACAATAATTGGGAAGAAAAAAAAAATTCCATGTTTAAGTTCTGCAGTATGTCATACCACTTCACGTGGTGTTTCAATATTAAGAGATTGAAAAAAGATGTTGAAGAAAGGAGAATCAAAACATAAAAACAAAGGGAGGACTGCAAATGGACAAAATGGGAGAGTGAAAGTCGCTATTCGTTAAAGAAATCCACATCCCCAAACATGTGTGCAGTGGCTCTATGCTCCAAATCGAAACTCTGTATCTATCAATACCCTCAAACCGGAAAAATATCTGCAGATCCAATTATGAGATGCGTGCCCAATTGTTTGTCAGACTCATCCCTTTCTACATCCACTTATAATAACACCTTAGCCATTTCATTAGTTACTCTTTCACATTCCTCGCCTTTAGAACTAAAAGGTTCCTGATAATTGGTGGAACTTTTGCACTCAATCCAAACAAACTAAAGATATCAATTGTACTTCCCATAAGGCATTATATGCCAATCTTTTCTAAAGCTAAACGGTAGCAATGTGATGGGAATTTACCATAGGAAGAGGAGAAATTGGGTGTCTTGGTCCTCTTGGATGATTGACCAAAAGAGTGATCCTAATGATATTATATTTATGTATACGTATGTATAAAAAGTTCAAGCAAAATGCTCAATCCAAAAACATATAATGTTCCTAGTTCGTACAATCAATCCCAAAAGTGTCAATATCAAAACTGAAAATCTAACAGCAGCGAGAGAGGAAAACCCCCAAAGGATGTTCAGCTGATAAAACGTGAATTAGTTTTGAACACTTGGGCACTGACGGCTGCATAGAAACACCTTAAAAAATACTGATGAAACCAAATAACAGAATAACTGGAATACATCAACAGTCCCCTAATTTTGACAGCCTTCCATCACAAAAATCAGAACATGCAGGGGACAAACAAAAGAGATGGGAGAAGATTTAGTTCAATAAATCAACCATTTAAGCCAGTACGCCCAGTAGCAAACTTAGATGCAAGAATGTAAACTAAAATAATAGAAAAGGAAAAGAAAAACTTAAAGCATACCTTTTGAGTGAAGGTCCTTAAGAATATGAACTTGCTAGAGCAGCCAAATTATTGTGGCCGGTAAAGGCCAAGCAATGGTTTCTCTCTCTCTTGAACTCTCTTTCTTGCAGCTTCCCTTGCTTTAAGTGCAGCTGCTTCTTCAGCGGATACAGCCCTTGGCTTCTCATCTCTCTTTCTCTTTCCAACAGCAACGGAGGAAGCAGCACCTTTAACAGATCTCTTGGGATTTATAGAGGATGAAACTACTGGCCCAGGTGGAGGCCCATTTTGAGTTTTATCAGCACCTTTGTTTTCTGTAGCTGATCCTGCACTTGAGGCTGACACTGGCTTTTTCAAAATGGTTTCTTTATATCCAGCATTGGATAAGAACTGTGGGTTCGCATATGCCTCTTCCTGTGTTACCCACTTGCCTGTTGTATTTTTTGATCGAAATATATCAACTACAACACATATTCTAAAAGGATGGTAAGCTAACACAATAATTAGAATATAAGTGCAATGTGTCAATACCTATAGAATCAGAATAGTAGAAGCCCGAATTTGGATCATAGTAAAAACCATTACTTTGATTGTAGTAATAACCAGATGTGCTGTTATACTGCCATTCTGTCACCAATAAAAGTGAATCAGTTAATATAACCAGACGTGCTGTTATACTGCTATTTTGTCACCAATCAAAGTGAATCGGTTTTAATAAACAAGTTGAAATAAGAAATTTTTATCAACAAAGCTTAAGGCATGCTTCTTCAAATCGCATTAAGGGGCCCATTTAGGAACAAATAATATTCACGAACCACCCTAAAGAGATGCTTCTAAGGGAATTTAAATTTTGAAAGACTCTGTTCTGTTCACCAATTATTGGCCAACTATCAAACCGGACAACTATGGCAAGAATCAACCTAAAAACACAATTCACCTAACATGTCTAGTTCATTCTAGGCAATTTGCATAACTTACTAGCTTAATGTCTTCCTCTCCTGAGTCCTGGCCGGTTCGAGTGGGCTATAGACCAGCCTAAACACCTAGGCTATCACCTCAAGTGACCTAGGAGTTTGAATTTTTTATTTTTTATTTTTTTTAAATAAAAAGCCTATATCATAATGATGATGATGATGATGATGATGATGATGATGATGGTGATGATGACGACGACGATACTGATGACGATGACGATCATCATAATAATAATACTAGTAGCAGTAGCAGTAGCAGTAGCAGTCAGATTTTGATTGCTTGGCATGCTTGTAAAATATTGATATATGTAAAGTATTATAATAATTTTAGAAACCGTGAGGCTATAGCCTCACGCCTCAAGGCTATCACCAAAGCCAAGCTATCCATGAAAGGCCTTCACTTCACCTTCGCCTATTAAAACATTGATATATATATATATATATATATATGTATGTATGTATGTATGTATGTATAATATCACTAGCATCTAATGAACCATGCCTTCCTCTTTCCTTTTTTCCTCCCTTGTAGAGTGCTTTCTTCAGTAAAATACCTCAGAGTAGTTTCGCAAGCTTAGTTTGTTGAGAAATAGATTTTATACATGCAGCCCGATTGTTGTATTCTTAACAAAAAAAGTAGTTGAGCTTTAAGCAAGGTGTTCAGTTATCCAACAGTCCTATTCCAACATACATGGTACTCTTGGACTATAAATCATATGGCCAAGGTGAACTAGATTTGACTCCATACAAGTACAAAGATAGGAAAAATGATGCATCACGATTGTCAAAAATAATGATGGAGGTTCTCCAAAGTGATTGAGGTGTGATATGCCGGCTTTATTCCATAGCTTGCAAGAATAGTGCAGCCATAACATTGCAACAACCCTGGAATACAAACTTACAGTACTTACTCTCTAGATCATCATCATCAACTTCGAATGCACGAGAATCTCTAGCCTCCTTTAAGTTTGCCACATCCTTTTGATAGCTGCGCTTAGCTTTCTGTAAATGTTCAGGACCAAAAAATCAGCATAAAGAAAATTTTCTCAGGTCAGTGTCCCATAGAAAGAAGACTTTGTCTTCCACAAAAGCTATTTTTTTTAAAAAAAAATAAAAAAATAAATCATAAATCATAAGACAAAGGAGTTGGGGAAATAGTTGTGCTCAACTTTTTTCACAAATTCTGGTTTGCCATTCGAATGTCATTTGAAAACATAATAATTTTTGAATTGATAACAGCTGCTCGCGGGCTGCTAATAAAATGGCAGTATCGATGAGAACAAGAATAGGAATGAAGCATAGTATTAAAGGGGAGATGCACTACCATCAAAGAATTGCCATTATAAAATGAACTTCCATTATCCAAATAGATGTATTCATATATATATATTAACTACTGCTAACTTCGAAATAACCTTTTGATACTCACTGCTTCGATTTGCAGAAGGGCGCGCTCTGCTTCCTTTTCTTCCTTCTCCTTTGCAGCTTTTTCTTTTCGCATATCAGCAAGCTTCTTTGCAACATTATCCTTGTGTCGTTGACCAAGTTCATGATTTCTGACGCTGGAAGGATTGTGCGAGATGTAGATTTTGCAGAAGTCACACCACTTGTTACCCTGGCTAACCCAATACTGCAAACAGAGAAAGGGAAAAATTAACAAGGTAAGCTAATAAACGAAATCGAACTGTATCAAAAATTTTAAAGAGAAGAAGATTCCTCTCCGAGTATTATAGATTTCAGTATAATTCAGAAACTCCATTACCAGTATATCACTATGCTTCTGAAATAAAACAAGTTTTCGCCTATCGGAACCATTGGACATAAAGAAGTAGTAATTAAATTACTTGAAATATCAAAACGAAGTTAAAATCACATTCTTTCGTTCCCAAATCCCAATAAACGTGCCGGGATCACAGAATTAGCGACACAGATTACTAACTATTAGCACCAAATGGATCCCAATACAGCATAACTGTAACAATGGCAAGAATAAGAAGCAGCTGAGTTATTATCTTGTTACTTCGGTAATTGGGTTTTGCTTATTATTCATGAATATTGCTCTTCAATCCCCATATGGATACACTCGTACGAATTATCCAATTAAGCACTCAAAATTAGGAATAACATCAAGAAAAGCTGCTTTTTTTACAAGTGCTTTTCAAAATTAAAAGTAAAAAAGAGTTGAAAGCGGAGGAGGGTACCTCAGTCATGGCGACGAATTGGGGGGCTGTGAAGCTGGTGGGAGAAAAACCCTAAAATCAGACCGTTAGGGCAAAGATCGGAGGTTGCAGGTACTGAAATGTGTCAATCGAAACAATCAAAACAAAATCTCTCCTTTTTCTTTCTCTTTCTCGCGGAGCGGAGACAGGAATTCGGTTTGCCAATATAACTCCGACGACTATTTGAGTCGATCTTGGTTTTGATATGCCCACTCGACCAATTTTTGGGCCTTATAGAATTTAGTTTAACAAGCCCGCCCCTTCTCTTCAATTTCAGACAATTATTGGGAATAGTGGGGAGGCCTTCACGTAAGGAATGAGAATTAGTTAGATTAGATCAACTATATCCCTCTAGTTTAATCTAATTTTGTTACGAGAGTATTTGCATAAAATTCTAAAGTCGTTCATTACTGGGGGAATACGGTATAACGTCTATTACAGGAAAATGCGTCTTGGACTAAAATAGTAGAATGTTGTAACGTCCATTACCGGAGAATATGTCACCTCTCAGTCAATCTCAATGTGTTGAGAGAAACCTCGCGCCACGAGGCATATCTTATATCGCTCTATCTCATTCTTTTCATTACGCTTCCTTACGAAAACTCACTTGTACCCAACGGGCTTCACATGCCTTAAGCACCTTGCGTTTTGCAAGTGAATCAAGTTTAACTTGGATTGTTTGTTGCTAGTTTAACCAATCAGTTCTACGTTGACATTCATCATGGAACACAATTCAATGTTATTGTTCAGTATGATATCAGTGATCACTATGTATGCAAATGATCGTTTACTATCATCCTATTCTGATTGGAAATCTCGTCCAAGCTAACATAATGGACCGAAATCTCACAATTCTCGGGAGGTAGATTTGTCTCATCAAGGACAATTCCATAACCTAGAATAACCTCGTGTGTTTAAATGGTTAAGTTAGTGATGGTAGGATTAAAATTTATTTCACTAGGTTGTGTCGTGGGCTTCCTCTTCTAGGGCTATGAATCTTTTGAACCAACAAGTCTGTCAAGCTTCAGGATGAGAGCGCATAATTGGCTAGCCAACAATGTATCGGGCTACACAGTGGGTGCACCCAACAGTCCTATAGGGGCAATATTTCGATGTATGTGCGATACATCTATCCTTGCTGGTGCGTTTGCATCTTGTATATTTGAGCTTGTCACTTTCACTAAGCATCGAGCATGCTTTAAGCAACATTCTGTAGATCTAAAATACATGGCACTTTAATTTCAAGCTGTGCAGTGCGGGGACCTAAAAGAGACATTGTGGGATTAATCCATGACAATTCGCAGCATTTTTCAAGATCGTTAACATTCTTAACTGCTCCTAATGATAGAAAAACTGTATGATCGAAGTATAATCTGCAAAACATGCAGTAAGCAGATCACCTTTCAAGGGCTCTAAGTAGCAAATAATGGAAGCCGAATCATAACTGACAAATTCTTATTCTTCTCTGATGACCCATTTTGATACATAGTGGAGGCATTATTGGTTCATAAACTACGCTATTGGCGTATGTGAGAGATGTTAGGCTCGTACGTTACCAATTGTAACAGTAAAAAAGATTGGCCGACGGTGGGCCTTATACAAACCAACATAGTTGTGTGCAAAATTGCATAACCCCACGCAGAAACCAAAAGCTTGGTGTGCATGGCCATGGTTTAAGCAATCAATTGAAGATGCTTAATGACGCTTTTGTTCAGCTTTTTTAGGTGTGAACATGGGATACTGAATGTTCAACTTCAATCTCCACTGACATACAATAATCGTCGGAAGTTTGCAACGTAAACTCTCAAGCGTTATCTAGTCGAATCGACTTAGTCAGGTAATCACGGTAGTGAGCCTTGAGCTTAATAATTTGTGCTAAAAGTTTCGCAAATGCAACATTGCATGTGGACAATAGGCAAACATATGACCAACGTGTCGATGCATCAACTAACAATATAAAATATTTAAATGGTCCTCATGTTGATTGAAAATGTCCACAAATATCCCCTTGGATCTGCTAATGAAAATTTGGGGATTATGGGTAATATTTTCATTAGAAGGTTGAGTTAATAATTACCCAAAGAGCATACTTGGCATGGAATTTCCAGGTATGATTTTCAAACTTCTAGTAAGATGATGCACATGTGATGTTTTGAGGATACAATGCATTATATCTCTCCCTAGATATCTCAAACGGTCATGCCATGGTAGGCCTCCGCAGCACGTACGTTTGTATTGTACAGTCCATTCGGGAGATGTCCCATCTTCTCATGAATATGTTTTTGGTCATTTTCATAGGAAACGATACAATGATATTCCATGCCATTCTTTTCAGTGGTTTCAACATGATAGTTATTCTTTCAAATATTCTTAAAGCTCAACAACGTTCTTCCATAACAAGGTAAGTAAAGGTCTTCTTTAATGGTTAATTCAGTATCATTGGACAACACTATAGAAGTAGTGTCATACCCCTAATCAAGTAGGATAGGCCTAAAAGGGTTGTCAAACCTGAAATTTTAGGACAAAGTTAGTAAAATAGTGACTGTCGCGCAAGATGGTGTGCGTAGTTGCACTATCTGCCAGACAACTAATTTCCCCACAAGACATACCCAAAAATAAATTAATTGAATTGGTATGTCTATGAGGAAAAATTCAAATTCCTTTCCTTCAATTAATTAATTATGAAATAAGAATCCAAAATAAAGAAAATTGTTCAAAACTTAAACCAAAAGAAATAGGGCCACTCTAAAAATTAGTAATTTCCATGGTGGTATCTTCGAGATTATCTACTTGAGCAAAGTTTGTCTCAATCTTCTGACAACGTGAATGATACTAAAAATTGCTTCAGGAGAAGCTCATCACACATGAGATCAATATTCCTTGGAACCACATAGATAACACATATCAAGATCAGTAGAAGCTTGATGATTTGACCTTTACCTTTAGTCTTGAAGTTAGAAGCCTTGAGACTTAGGAAATCGTGCTTCGGGTTCAGATTTCTTTTTTTGGGTGGGCTTCTACTATGTTGATAACTCATATATTTCATATATTTATACAGTGGCAAGGCTACAAAAGGTCAGGGAAAGAGGCCTCTCCCCTCGCCGAAAATCAAGCTTAGAGCAACGGTCTACCCTTTTGGTGTGAGCTTCAGAAACTCAAGTGTAAATAGTGATTGTTCATCACTTGTCTGCCAACCAGTTAGATCTATTGTGAGCTTCAAAACTCCTTTTTCTCTTACTCAGATCAAAATATTTTCTTCAAAGAAGTTGTTCTTTATCCTCTCTACCACACCAAAGCAAAATCCCAGGAAGATCTAACTGCCCATTCGTTCTAGATCTTTGAAATACTACCAAGGTTTTGAAAATCCGTAGAAAATCCTATAGTCATGTTTGGAGTTTCAAAACTCCAACTTCAAACATTTAAACAAAAACACTTCCTTCATAAAAGTTATTTATCATCATCAGTTCTATAAATATCCACAATTTATGACAATCCAATCTATATGTTGATTTGTGCGTTAGTTTACGGTTAAGCTGCCTTTCTTGGCCAACCTGTGGCCAATATCTTCAATTTCTATTGCTTGCTTCTTGGAATGAAAAAGGAAAAGAATTCAAAGAGGGAGTTGTGAGTAAGAAAAGAATGAGAAGCAACAAGTGAGTGAAAAAAAAAAGAAAAGAATTCAAAGAAAGAGAAGGGTGACGGGTTGTAGAAAACTAAAGAGGTTTAGGAAGGTTTGGAGAGAGTTTTAAAATAAAAAGAGCGGTGAGAGGGAGTCATTTAGAGGAGGATTATTATACAAAATGGTCCCTGAGATTTGCATGATTAATAGAAATGGTCCCTGAGATTGAAAATCAATAGAAATGGTCCATGAGATTGTCCACCATCCATGATTTTGGTCATTCCGTTAAAAACTCTTTGGGCAATTCAAAGTTTCGTAACTCAATCGATTTTTAACCAATTCGACCCATAATATATCAAAATGAAGATAAGAAAGTGTAGAACAAGATTATACCTATTTGGAAGCCTAATAATTGTCGAAGATGGCTGGAAAATAGCCTGAAAGGTGACTCGTCAGCGGAAAAATTGAAAAACTCGTTGGAAACTTGGTAAACTTTAAACGTTCATAACTTCTTCAATCCTCAATGACATCAAGTGATTCAAAAACAAAAATCATACTTCTCAACGAGACGAAGATAATGGTATCTTTCTTTACTGCTAACTCGCCGTGGTTGGCTGGAAAACTGCTCAAAATTGGCTAACTTAAAATAGTTAGCCACTTTCGAGCCATTGTCGGACCAAACCACGGCAAGTTAGCCTTCGAAAATGGTACCATTCTCTTCGTCTCGTCAAGAAGTATTATTTTTTTTTTTGAATCACTCGATTTGGTTGAGTATTGAAAAAGTTATGAACGTTTAAAGTTTACCCAGTTTCCGGCAAGTTTTCCAGTTTTTCCGTTGACGAGTCACCTTTCAGACTATTTTTCGGCCATCTCCAGCAACCATTGGGCTTCCAAATGGTATACTATTATTCTACACTTTCCTATCTTCATTTTGATATATCATGGATCGAATTTGGTTAAGAAATGATTGAGTTATAAAGCTTTGAAAATTGCCCAAAATCGTTTTTTTGGGAATGACCAAAATTATGGATGATGGACAATCTCAGGGACCATTTCTATTGATCATGCAAATCTCAAGAACCATTTTGTACAATAACCCTTTAGAGAAAAAAGAAAAGAGAGTTGGTGTGAGTAAAAGAAATTTTATCCATACTAAACATGTAAAGAATAAGAATAACTAAAAGAAAAATATAAGAAAGAGTTAAAAAAAATTAAAATAATGAAATAATAAGGAGGATAACACGATGGTAAGATAATCTTTTACCTACTTAGCTTTAATTCTTGCTCATACCATTTTTGACATGAATGATGATTTATGTGTTTGGGTTGCTAAATGAGTTTATTGTCTTATATTTTATATTTGCATGAATATAATATGAGAATATTGGCTTTGATATGATGCATTACATATTCATAAGCATTGCAAACAAGGACAAATAGTTGAGTTGTGTAAAGTGTTTGAGTTGTGAATATATTCAAGGGTTGGAGACTGCCTTGAATATAAAATAATGAACCTGTATCAAGCGTCGGGGGAAGTGCTGAGTATACAAATAGGGTCGGGAAAAATGCCTATATAATAAAGTGAAAAGTGAGAATTTAATTCTAAAAATTGGGTTTAAGGGATTAACGAGAGTTAACTCATATTATAAGGTATTCAGAGTCAAGTGGTATAAC